TTGTATATGATAGTGTAGCACTTACCCATACTCTAGAACTTAAGTGGCCGATACTTCTTAAGCAAGTTGACTCTCTTTCAAAAATACAAATAACAAAATATATTTTTACCTGTAAATAGACGGTAAAAACCAAAAATTATGAGGTTGTCCATAAAAAAAAATGATTTTAACCTTCTTTTCCCATCTTTCCTTTGTTTCAAATCAGTTAGATGGAGGTGCGAGCGACTGTACCTTCGGTCCAGCCTTTTCTAATAGCGTTAGTCAGCGTGATTAAATGTAAAATTGTAGTAAGAGCTCTCGCAAATTGTTTCATTGCCTCGCGATTGATTGCTTGTGGCTTCAAAACGGAAAATCGCTTTACGTTGAGCTGAACGGAAGTAGACGCGAGCGGCTGCGTTGCGAGTTGCGGGTCTGTGCATATGTTTCGGCTATGTTTCTCAATAGTGAGCCTTATTTATTTACGTTGAGCTGAACGGAAGTAGACGCGAGCGGCTGCGTTGCGAGTTGCGGGTCTGTGCATATGTTTCGGCTATGTTTCTCAATAGTGAGCCTTATTTAGTTTCTCAATAGTGAGCCTTATTTACAGGTATACCAGCGGCTGCGTTGCGAGTTGCGGGTCTGTGCATATGTTTCGGCTATGTTTCTCAATAGTGAGCCTTATTTACAGGTATACCTTCATGATCAAGGCTGTACACATTCACATATCACAGTGGAAAACGTCTATTTAGCCTTGGATTATAATGATCCCTTGGACATTCCATGTGATCAAACTGTAAAGCTTGGTGATTTCTGTGAGTAGTTACTTGCTCTACTTATCCTACTTATTAACAGCAACCGGAAATCTCAATCAACGGTGAAAACTACTCGAGCGCGACTGATGTGTGAGTCACTTTGTTTGCAAGGTGCTTATCTACATGTACTAAAGTAATTACAAGTTTCCAGTTGGCAGTATGGGTTATTCTTGTCATCGGTGATAACGTTGAACTCGGCACAGGCTCTTATTTGCTTGCCACCGGATGTACTTCTCACCGATAGGATCATAAAAAACTACTACACGTGCCTTTCATCTGGAATTCGACAAGTGTGAGTACTTCACAGTACAAGTGCAGTAATGGTAAAAAGTTGTGATGGCTGAATGACTGCAGTGAAGAGTGAAATTGCCTATGTCTTTTTTTTATTCAGAGATCCATATATGTCATCATTGAAAAGCAGGATTCTCATGTGCTTGACGTCTAATGTTCGAAATCGAGCAACGATGAAGAAAATCCAGGCGAGTTTCCACCGAGTTTGAGGGGCAGTTGAACCTAAAATAAGTAGTTTTGAATCATGAATGAATGCAAGACAGGAATTGAAATTGAAAAACAGTGGCTATACTGGGCGATATGCCGCGCTGGCTGCAAGCTGGCGGGTACAGCACATCGACCAATAAGCGCTTGCTGAAGCGCTTCAACGCGCTCCCATTGGTGGGTCGTCACTCGAGCTTCCTGAGTGTAGGGAATGCTCAGTTTCGATTTGCCTATGAACACTAATAATAAGCTTATTTCCAAAATTTTTCGTCTATAAGGGACACTTATATTTTTTTCACGATTTCTTTTTTTGACGTTTCATAGCGCGATGTCAAGGAATAATGGTGTCAACCTAAAGCCCTCCGATTAATTTCAGTCCTTCTGGTAGCAAGTTATATTTTTTGTTGAATTCATTACATTCTTGTTAAATTGTCATTACTTATTTGCTGTGTATTTATTATTAGTGATCTAAGGCGTACCACACGATTAAAATGGCTTCTTCGTAGAACGGAATAGGCTAGTGTCCATGTTATGTACTCTCCGAAACCCTCCGTGTTTTTATGGATTTTTTATTCTAGAGGAAGGTCCCTCGTTTCCTTCCCTGACGGTGCTGCTTGGTTTTCAGTTTTCTATTTTGAGCTCTACAGCTGTTTCTTTTAGAGGGCTATCTATTTCCATTAACGACGCAACTGCTCCCGAAGAGAGGTTTTTCTTCGGGCAGGATTTTAAGACTGCGCTTTTTAGCTGTAACGGGGGCATAAAAAGCATGTCGAGTATCCGAAGAACGTATGCCATATAATCGATCAAATAATGTCGACTAATCGATCAATCAAAACTTTGCCTATTGTTATGCAGTGGCAAAACTTTAGCACGAACGCTAAATAGTACTTTGGCAAGACACAGCCAGGCCAATCTCGATTGTTTCGTTTAGATTATTGCTGAATCTCGGCCTTTTGAAATCCCGGAAGTAGTAGTTTTCGGGGTCACCCGAGGTTATAGAGTTTACTGAGCTCGGACGAGTTTCCGAGAACAGCGGGTGCTGAGCTTGGACGAGTTTTCAAGACTTTTACTATTACGCCAGGACTGTTGAAGTAGATGCATGAACAAGGCTGATTGTATAGAATAAATTAAGAAACGGCCACGTGCATACCTCTATAAATAAATAGAAATACAATTGAAATGTTTACTTATTATTTATTACAGAGCATCGAATGAAGCTGCAGTTGTACCGAAAATATTATGCTCTAAACAATCTGTTGTGGTATTAGAAAATAAAGCGAGCCGTGCAAAGATGTTCGCTTAATTATCTGAATAGTAAAAATAAAGAAATATTATCACTGATGACAAATAACAATTGTTAATATACATCGGCAAATTCGTCCTTGGTAAAGTTGCTCCACTTACACGTGTGCGATCTTCCTGCGTACACAAGTGGGCGGGATTGCCAAAAAGGGCGTGGCTGCCGGGGTTCTACAGCAAAAGTTGGAGCTGAACTTTTATTTCAAACTTGTATTCATTTTTCGAGAATACTTCATAGCAGAGATTTTACATTGTAATTGATAATCAGGCTATAAAAATGACAGTTTTCAGAAAGAGCTGGTTTCCCTCGACTTCAAAGCACCCGAATCTGTGACTGGAACGAACTCGGTGTTAGTATGAGGTTCAGGTTACTGTACTCCTCATGACCATGAGGCTCACTGAGCCTCATTCACTGCCATACAACAACACTCCTCAGATCGTTGTTTGTTTACTGTTAAGTAAGGCATGTTCATTAGCCTCCAAGGTCTCTATGATGATCTCACTGGAATCTTTCTTATTGAAACCCATTCGACTGCACTAGTTTCCCAAGTATTGATAAAGTAATATTGTTGTTAATAATAATTAATATTTTTGCATGTGCTTGTTAATATTCACTGATAAGGCAAAGAGTAGTATAGTCAGTCAACGGAGGCCGAAAAAGCCTCCCTAAATCCACTAATCACTCAGCAATTTTCTGCTGCCTTCCTGTTTTACTGCTTTGTACTACTAGTAGGTACTACTTACTAGTAATGCTACTCTTTGTATGTAATATTTCATAGATCGGTTATGATTTCTATAATCTATATAGGTCACGTGATTCTATGTCATCTCATTTTTATCTCATCATCATCATCCCCGTGTAAACAGAGCTAGTTCATTTACTTCTTTCTTTTTTACTTACTTCTTCATTCCTTTCTTTATTTTCTAATTATTATTTTTATTTCCATCCAATTCTACTTTCGGGTCACGTGCTGTATGTTCAGCTTACGAGTGATTGCTTCAATTTTGTGGTTATAAATGAGTCTAAGTCATTTTATCGTTGCTGTCACTCGTGTTTGAAAGTAAAGCATTTCAAGATCAATTTAATGTACTGGTATTTTGTTACTTGTTTACTTAGTACTTCGAAAAGTCCGAGATACTGACGTGTCTTGCAAGTGTTCTGGAATTTTTTTGAAGTTTTTTTTATTAAGCCTGTGAGAAGGTCTTTGATGGTCTACTTTACCAAAGCAACGAGCAGTAAGCTTACCAGTATGTGGGCCCTTTCGTTTCTGTTCACCCGATTTCTCGGGAATCGTATTAATCCTCCCATTTATCAAGTCAGGTTTGTTTCATAGCTCATTTCCTGAACAGAAGGAATCAATCATTTTTTTCATTTCCGCTGAGCCCCCGGGATAGGATGGTTATTTGCACATTCTTACTATATAAAACTGGACCTACGATTACTTCAGTATACTGGTACTTCTTCTAAGGAAGTATGATAAATTCCCAGTTAACTGAAGGAATTGCAGTAACTAGTTCACAGTAGCATTTGTACAGTCCTGCCAAGTGCCAATCATCTTTTCTTAACGGCACAGTCCACGAATACGGAGGGAAGTTGTACTGATAAAAGGAATAGCAATGAAGTGACCATGTGAACAAGTAAATTACATAGTAGTCAGTTATTTAGTAAGGTTAACGAGGTTCCTAAATTGTGATCAATAATATAATAATAACAATAAATAATTGGACTCGTAGATGCTTCCATAGCCTACGTCACTTAAGGCGCAGTTGACGATAATTTTGGGGTGCCTAGTTATAGAGGATTAATGGAACTGCAGTCCAGAAAAGTGTAAAAGGGCAAAACGGGGAAATCAGTGTGTTCGCACAAAATATAAGGCTTCGAAAAAGTAGTAAAATCAGGGGCTGATCGAGAATGGGACGGCAAACATCACATGGATGTTGTATTCGGACGAGCTGTCCGAATGTGTGCGTCATTGCACACAGCTGGCCACAGTAAGCTACCTACGTGAAGCGTGTGCGTCCCGGTGCGAATGGTATCTTCATCACGAAGTACGTATTCTTCCGTCTTTGGGTGTATCGGCTAAGCCGGTTTTGAGGCTCTTACTCTTAGGTTATCTAGGCTGTTTTTCGACTCAACAGCGTCTCTTGTGCCATCCATGAGGGTCGCAGGCATATCCCCCAGAAGCATCGAGAAGCGTTTTTGTCGTATACTGTGTATTTGAATCAGCTTGGTTTAGACCGAACTGTGTCGCAAGTTGATGTCATTTTCTCTTGCTTTGCTATAGGCTGTTACTCATCGTTTCCTACTTGTGTTCTTATGCGACTACTCCATACTGGAGTTGTTTTTCAAACTTGTAGCACGAACTCCGCCTCCCGTGACATGCTCCACCCACCGCGTTCTTCCTCCTCTTCGGTCCTACAAACTGCTAGGCGTATCTGCACTGTCAAAAAATAGCACTACAAACATCTGGCTCTAAGCTTAGCCCATTTTTACACACGCTGCGACCACCATTGAAGCCTGGCATTGCGCTTTCTTTATAAAAACAGCTGTTTACCCTGTCACGTTCTTCTGGCGACTAGGCTGTTTTAAAGCGGAATAATGGCTTTTTGCGTAAGCCCGGTTAGAACTGGCAATCTTCGTAGTGAACTGACAACCGGTACCAGACGATCAAAGCGAGCTGTGAGGCTCTTGGGTGTGGTGCAGATGGATCGAGATTGTCGCGTCGCGGCGAGAGCGAGGCTCCATGCAAAGGAATGTAGTGGAATGCAGCAGCAAGTAAGAAATACAGGAACAAAAGAACTAACATTAGAATCATGCCGAAAATAATAATCGTACATCGATTGAGCTGTATGATGAACGCTAGAACTGTAATAATCAGGCGAATGGTCCGCGACTGCCGCGCGCGTCGAATCGATTACGCAAGACCGATCCTACTGGCCTTCTCCCAAGGCTCACCTCAACTTTACCATATGAAGGCAAAATCGAGTTTCTGGTAGCCCCCTTTGCTGGTAGTGGGGACATGGGGCCAACAGTTGGCTTCTGAGCCCCACATCTAATGTAAGTACAATGCAATGTACAGTCGTTTATTACAAGAAATAAGCTGCTAACTGTTACACCTGTAATCAATGGTTTCACAAGGTGGTTGTGCATTCAGTACATGTACAGAGCTACAGTCGTTTCAACAAAACAGCAAGATAATTCAAAGAAAATAGAACAAGTACTGTCAGACGGACGGAAACAATCACAAAACTTTCTGTTTAGTGCCAGAAAGGGAAGATGAGGAGGTAATCCGGATAGAAGAGAGCGTGGCAATACGGTCTGAGGCTCACTTGGATGAATACATCAGAAAAATGCATGTAGGAAATGCGCTATCATTATGACGTTAATCATTCAGCCTCAGTGTTTGCCAGGACGTTCCGCGTGCGGTCGCGACGCGGCGTCTCGTTACCATATAAGCGTGGTGCCGTCATAAATGTTCATCAGAGGCGAAATGCATTTATTGCAATGTGATCGACTATATGATTGACAGCCTGTACAAAAATCGGAACCCGGAACTCTGAAATAAGATTAAATTTGGACGGTTAACAGGAAAGTCAATTGGATAAGCCACTCACGTTCAATGACATCTTAGAAGCTGTATTGTTGGAGTTGGAGTTGGATGTCAGAGATCTGCACGTATGCATGATTTCAATGGTCGCTTCAGGCTGGGGCTGCTCGAGATCGTTGAAGAAGCTGAAGATGCTCCTCGTCCGGAATCTCGTCCATCCTTAAAATGGTTTTTGCTACTCATGTAGAACCATGCAATTTCGGAGCTCTATTAAGCAAGTCCTCGTTGGCCAAAATGGATTTCTCTCAATTCCACTGACCAGCTTTTTTCAAAACAAAATGGGACTAAACATGCATGTAGGCTATTTGGGATTGTGAAATTGCTTTAAGGTATATCTTTCTTTGGTACCTTATCTTGGTGGTATTTCCTCAGTTGATTCTTTGCGAAACCAGGTCATTTAATACACTCAAACAGTAGATATGCGAAGTTTTACGCGAAGAAATCGACAACTCGGGGCAGTGAGCGCCAAAAAGCAGGAAGGCACGCCCCTACAGGGATCCCCGCCCCAATTTGTTCTACCGACCAAATAGGCGGGAAACGCGCTAATGGTCAGCCACCCTCAGTTTAAAAAAAAATGCTTTTGAAGCCTAAAACTCCGTTGACAAAGAGATTTCAGAAGCTCTTGTATGAATCATTTTGAAGGATTTTCCACCGATGTTACGTTTCTGCGATGTTCGGGGCGCTGTTCTCATGAACGAAAACATTCTATTGTAGGCGATACATATGGCTTGGTTTATAAGATGGAAATAAATGTTGTTTTTTTAGGAAACGGCGTCACCTGCGATGTATCGCGACAATTTTCTGGGCTCTTGGCTCGAACCGATGTGATACATTCGTCAAGGTGGGTTTGGAGCAGGTCGCACACTCGCAGAGAGTCGATCAACATTGAATCGTAGACCTAAAATTGAAGTTCTGAGGTCAAAGGTCAGATATTACTTCGACTTTTTCTATTGATTTTTCTTGTGTTACTTTCTTACTGCATGGTTGATCTGTACTGCCATATCTCAGCCCTCCCAGTACTGCAGTACATAGGGCCCACGTAAGTCTTCTACTTCAATGCTAAATCTCATACAAAGACTGATGGAGTTAAGTTTAGGAAGATGAACTCCCACTGGGATTGCATTCAGCTGACGGCGGCTCTGCTGAATTTGTCAGGCTCAAGGGGTTAGAACCGAAATTTCTTCTCCGAGACTCCAGAAGCAGTGTCAGAGGATGGCCCCTCAAAAATCTCTTGTCGGACTAGACGACCTGGTAACCTTTGTTGTAGGTTTAGTCGAGTTATTTGCAGATTACATGAAAGCCTAGAAAAATGAGGACGTCCCGACCTTTCCAGCAAAGACCCAATTTGCAAAGTAATCAAAAATGGATGCATCCCAGACAGATTGAAAACGTTTTGTTTTCCCTTCTTTTTTCTGGTCCTGTCCTTCTGTGCATAACACAGCTGCAGCCGAAATTGGCAGAGCAGTGGAGGTTCTTACTAAACAGAGCAAAAGCATAAGCAAAACTGTAATATATAGACACAGATACGCCTGGATGAGTTCAAGAGGAACCTGTGAAAATCCAAGACAGTTTGAGTTTTTTGAAATGGTGTTGTGGCAAGTTGCGCACTATCACACAAGAACGGTCTGGAGATCAAACCTGGATCAATATTCGCCCAGCCCAACTGACAATAAGCCTTGGGAGTATGTTAGCCGGTATCAGACTCATCTGAGAGCATAAGAGCACTAACTTGTACATTGGATGACCTATTGGATGACCACAGTAATTCACTGTTTTGACTTAAAGCGTTTTCAAAATTACGCCAATCAATCTCCAAGGAAAATCGAATGCGTGGCGCGTCCAAAAAGTGGACTGATTGAGGCCAACCTTTCATACATCATGCACCCAAGAAAAAGACTCTGAGAAATTCGGTGAAGGACTAAGCTATTGCAAAAAAGCGTAGCTATCCTATCAGACTCGGTTTTTAAGGTCTCGCTCGTTAATGAAGGAGTTCAGTCAGTGATTTTCGTGACCAGTTACTTTTACTGGTTGAACTAGTAACTCTTAACAAGATCATCGCTTACCTCTTGTTCAAATAAGCAATTTCGCATGCTACGATCTTCTCGTTTGGTGATTTTTGCATGTTTTGGAATGCTACGAGCAACGATCGGCTGTTCAGCTGCTATCGTCTCCAGAGCTTCAACCAATACGGCTGGATCCTCCTCGAGAAGTGCATCAAATGATTGGGACTGAAAAGAATCAATCGATATCTATTTTCTGTAGATGGTTCATGAACAGAAGGAGTAAACTGCAGGGCTTTGAAGAAAAACTGCCATTCAACTAGGCAGAGAAAGCCCCAAAAACTAACTTTGGTCAAGCTCTACTTCCCTACACCTCGCTCAGCTTAATTAAGAAATTTAACGAGAGGGATACGACGTAAAGTCGGAAGGACGGAAAACGGAATTCGTGTTTGCGGTCCGTCAGGCTCCACTTTCTACAGCAAAATGGACAACGAGTTGTCTATACATTAATATTTTTTACTTCATAGCTTTCCAATCATTTATTGAGAGTGATTTCCATTATACCGAAGTTCGGTTTCAATTTTCTTGTGGGTCGATCGGCATACAAAAGCGCAAGTCTCAGAAAAGTGTCGAGTTATGGACACAACTTTGGCCTTAGATGGGACTCGAACCCTTACTCGGATATTCTGGGAACCATACCTTTATCCCTTACCCAGACACGGAAACAGTATCAACAGGAAACACCAAATCAGTAGGGGTTGTTATCATTCACCACTCCAGAACCGACAATTAATGATTTTCATAGCTCTCCGGTCTCCATTTCAGTCGAATTTTTGGTTTTTGAAGCGATACTGTACTAATGCCAGGTTTTCCCTCGTCTCCACCCCATGGTCCGCTTACTCAGGGGAGAAGGGCCAAGAATGCCCATTACCGGTAGTTTATTCTTGAAGTTTCAAAATTTTTTTAGCGCTTTTACTGGATATTTATATATCCGAGATGTTTTTTGTAGTTTTTTTTCTTCGCTTACACTTTTTTCTTTTCCCTGGTTGAGTCGTGTTTCTTCGTGTTCCGCTTCTTGTCCGTAGCCGTTTCCGTGACCTGAAACTGAACTCTTCAGCTTCACCTGTGAAGGTAATGATTTCGAGTTCTGGTAAAAGACAAAATACTTTTTAAACAGTATTGTGGTTGTAGCAAAAACTATCTAACAATAAGCTGGAGTTACAGATTGCTCAAGTGGTACGGTATTCAGTAGTTTAATCGTAATTCAAAACAAACAAAACATAAAAAGGGTGTTCCCTCGCTTTTGGTGATTGCGAACTCTTTGGGGAGTTCTCGGAAGTTCGGGGAATCCTGTTGAACACAACAATCGGACAAAAGGGCGAACTGAGTCTTGGGTAATGGAGATGTGAGCCCAGTAACAGAAATTGCTACTCAAGTTACTGAAAACTAGTTTTTATGTCAACTAGTTGAGTCTGGGTATTTTGAGTGAGACGATGGCGCCATTACGGGCACATTACTAACGCCACATAGCCCAAACACACTGAAATTCGTAGAAAGGTCAAAGAAAAAGAGGGGAAACGCACTAATCGAATTACTACTACTGTCTCCCGTGTACTTGTAGAACTTTACAAGTACTCTTCCGACTCATACCTCTGAATTTACAAAAGGAGACATGGGAAGTCAAAATCGAGTTTCCTAGCTCTTTTGGTCGAAGCTAAGGAGCTGAAAGCCCGAAGAATTCTTCGAAGAGGCTGTTGTTGGAGCTTTGATTGGAAAAATATCCAGTTAAAAATAAGCCGGAGAAGTGAAAATGCCTTAATTTTTGGCAATAATCAAATTTTTTCGAAAATGAAGGATAAATTGGCGAAAGGTGTTCAATTTCTCCGTAGGACGCTTAAAAAATCCTTTACATTATGCATAAATTTCTTATAGCAGTTTAACTTGTTAACATTCAAGTATCTCTCCCAAACTCATCGCATCTGAAAATTCGGACGAGTTAGCTCTAACTATAGTGCTATCCTCATTGGTCAGTACCCCCCCCCTCCCCCTTGAGCATGCCATCCACCAATGAAA